GTAATGGGCTCTCATTTATTCTGATTGTTGATGCTCACAGAGGATTATATAGACACTCTCTATTCTCCAAACGAGTCTCCATCTGTCAAACATAGTGATGATGCCACATACTTATGTATTGAACACACGCATACAGATCGCAAATACTATGCTATTGAACCTAAGTGTGTACTTAACATTTCAGCTGAACATATCAGTTTGCATGTGGTAGATAACTGTATCTGAAACTGAACTGCAGCAGAGATTGAGAATAAAATTGTCATTCTGGGATTCAGCAATGTTTCTTATGAATACGATTTTTTTATATATCTGGGTAAGACAAAGTCCAAAGACTTTACCAAAATACATGTTAAGCATATACATATCAATAGCTCTTTGACGGAATATAATATCCATTTTCAGAAGCTCTAAGAAAATGTGATTGGACCTGACCCAAGAAATCTTCTTTCAGCCAGGCAGTGCAGGATGTCTCTAAATGAAAATGACCACAACCACAAAAGAGAACTTAGAAAGTGCAGTCACAAAAATAAATTACATTTTAAAATTTACTAGGAAGAATGCGTCCAGTACAAATGGCCCTCCCCAAAACAAAAAAGGTCTTATGCTCAAAGATATGGAAAAAAACAAACAATATATGGAGTTCTAAAGGCACTTTTTGGAATTGAATACATTGATTAAATGCTTATAAATGCCACCATAATGACTTTGAATTATCAATAATATTTTCAATATTATTATTAATTTAGGAGTTGGGAATTAATTGTGATTCAATTAAATACAGATCATGTAATTAATTTGATTACAATTTTTTGTTGTTTGACAGTAAGTAAACAATGACCTTGAAATGCCCCTTAAGTAGTTACTGTACCATCATGATCCAAACCAGCAGATGACCCCTAGTGAAATAAAGTATACTTTATTGTATTTGAAATATATTCCCTTTTTCAATAGTACATTGCAAATATACTAACAAAAATTGTACTATCTTTAAATATATTAAAAGTATATTAGCATTATGCTTTTACCTATTTTCACAATACAACTTTTAACACACTTTAAATTAATTGTACTTTAACATTTTCTAAAGATATATTTTAGAAAAATACTGTATACTTGAAGTGAAAATTCAGTTTATTTTTTAAAAGTGTGTTTATTTGCACTTTATTAACAATATATATTTTAACTGTGTGCTGGAAATGACCATTGTAATAATGCATTGAAAGTATACTTTCAAAATACATTATAGTATTTTGTACAAAGTATAGCCAAGTAATATTTGTTTAATAATGTGAATTTGTAGCCTCATGGTCGGTACCGATAACCTCGTGGGCAAGTGCATGGACTTGTATCGCTGTTGTTCTATGGGAGACCAGAGTTCGAGTCCCGGCTTGTGGACCTTTCCTGATCCCGTCTCTTCTCTCTCCCACCTCACTTCCTGTCAAGCTACTGTCCTATCCTAATAAAAGGCAAAAACGCCAAAAATAAATATAAATATATATATATATATATATATATATATATATATATATATATACACTTATGGTGTATTGCGACCACACTCGTAATGAATTTGTAATGTACTTGTAACACAAATAAAGTACACTTTAATATCACTAATCAAGCATGTAATTAGTCCCTACACAGGCATACTTTTATTTTTTCCCTACACAGGCATACTATTTTTTTTCCCACCAGGACAGGGAAAATGCTAGTGAATAACTCAACTTTGGGAATAATTTATTGCTGAAGGTCGGAAATCAGATCAAAAGTGAATTGCAGGATGTAACATAGCCAAAAGCAACGGTGAGAGGATAATCTACAGTAATATTTTCAGCTTCTAATCCAACAATTTCTTTTTCTTATCATTTTTCTCATGCAGCTAGAAATAGAAGGACAGATAGTTCCTGCTGCTGGGAAATCCATCTTCTCATTAAGGGGATAATCCACGGTGAGCTCTGATAATGCAGATATGCATTCGTGAATTGTGTCTGACCAATGCAAAGCATCTCGGGTAAGATCAGCAGTTCAACTGAAGAGTTTAAGAGGGTAATAAACCATTCCTCTGATAGGAGGAGAACAGCTACAACGTTTATTTGATTTAAAATTCCATTTTCCTTCAGGCAGAATATATCATTTCTCTATAGACTACTCTCTTTCTCCTGAGAATTTACTATCACATATCTTAGACTAGAAATGCAATGCACCAAGCATAACCTACTGTATTCAAATCAATAATTGCAGCAGCAGTCGTTGATTAGATCACAACACATCAGTCACTAAATCTAAATTAATTAGCATGATCCTCTCATTTATCATATCATTGTAAGTGAAGTCCATCTCTAGTTAGATGAATAGCCTATTAGGACATGCTGTCCATGCACAGTCCAGTCATCTGGTTATGTCCGCTACAAAGGTCATTCTAGGCTGTTTGCAGTTATCACCAGCTGCTCTCTGACTTCCTCAAGTCATAAGAGCCCAGTGATGCAGAAATAAGTGGAAAACATGAGGTGAGATGTGCGCTCCTAACTCAATTTCAGAGTGCATCTACGGTGGGCCTGTTGGCGGGTATGCCAGAGGCTTGGCTCCACTTTTGGCTCCCCGTCTGCTGCTGACGCTGATGCTGATGTGAGCTTGGCTCCCTTCTCTCATACAATTCATTATTACCCTCTAATAACTGCTTTGAAAGCCCATGATAAATGTATTTGTCGGAGCCACTGAGGGATCTCATATTTCACCCAGTGCACAAACTTCTTTTCAATGACCAAACTGAAATGGACATTAGCATAGCAAATGTGAATGCAATGACAAATGATAGTCCATGTGATTTTCTGTTCACTGTGGTTGCATTCTCAGATACTTTTAGAAAAGAAAAGACTAGGGCCTGGTTTCACAGACACCTTAGACTTAGTTAAATTAGGAATTTAAGTAGCTTTTATAAACGTGCCTTATAACAAAATATCACTGGTGTGCATCTTGAGACAAAACAATGGCACTGCCACTGACATATTTTAAGATATGTCAGTGCAAGTTGCTTTCAGTTAAAACAGCTCAAACAGGCATTTAAGTCTGGGACTGTGCTTGAGCCTTGTCGTTGAACCCGGGCATATATGTTTCACAGTACTCATGAGGACTGCATTTTATTAGCCATTGTGTGGATACTCCGCAAGAGAAGCTCTTCATTTCTCCTTGCGCTTAAGTAAGTTCATGTTCATGTGTAAACAAACAGCGCAAGCAGCTCAGCTAAATGACACATAATGAAGCTCTGTCTGGGGCTGCATGGTGTTTGCCCATTAAATAATGTTTGTTCAAAGTTATCTATTTTCCATTTTATCCACAGGGAAATGATAACTACGGTATATACAATTTCAAGTTGTAAATCTCCCCGTCCTCTTGCGGTAAAATCTAGCATGCAGATAGATAGAGGGAGATAGGGTCAATTTATTCACCATCTGATTTATGGGTTTATGCTGCTTGTGGGTTTTGTTGTAAACCACGAATAGACACAGTGGCCGTCATTTATCACAATGATCTACAGGTTTGCTACATGCATATAATATTTATTTAAACAGAATGCAACAACTTTCAAATGAAATGTTGTAAACTACGTGTCGAAGAAAATAAAAACAGATGATGACAGTATATCATGTTTCTGATCTTTTTTTGCATTTTATTTCAGCTATTTATTTGTAAGAAATACATACCACTAATATGTGTACTATTCAGTCACTAGAGGAATTTATGTTTTGCTTTCAGTAAATATGCTTCTTTATAATATTTATGTCGATGAATCTCAAATAAAGTGTCCAGTGGAAAATCTTGGTCTATTTCACAGAACTGTATTTATCAGACAATGAACTGAATCTCTGAATAAGCTGATTATTTTTCTTTTTTGCTATTGTGACCCTTCCCCTGAGCATGATGCTCTTTAATTTTCTCTCTCTCTCTCAGTCTCGCAAAATATGTTTTTATGACTGTCTGAGTCTGAAGATCTAACCTAAAACAAGTAGCTTTTTATACTGAACTTTACTTTAAAAACTGGCTATACATTAAGGGTGTTAATATTTTACTTTCATGTATATTATGATACCGAATGATTACCATATTCATGCATCATGGTATTATTATGGAATAATTATATTAGTCCAAAAAAACATGGTATTACCACAGTACAGTAAAACATACAGTAAAACACCCAGAAATTCGAATTCCATCATCATTACTAAACTTTGTTGTTCCAAATCTCTTTCTTCCAAGGAAAATAAAGGAGAAAAATGTCTCAACAGTTTCTGTCTGTAAAATGAAAGTCAGTGGGTCCAAAACAACACAGGACCCCAGTGACTTTCAGTGTATAGACAAAAACACAGAAACATTCTTCAAATGTATCATTCTGTAATGTTCCACACAAGAAAGAACATTGTATGTTTGGAACAACAAAAACTATGACAGAATTTATATTTTTGAGTATACTATCCCCCTTTTAACCTCTGTGAACACTACCACAAAGTAATCAGATCAGAAAAACAGGTTATTTCCATCACTGTAACCTCAATGAACAGCAGAACAATATCAAAGGAAGAGGCAATTGATGAAAGTTCCCATATAAATAACATGTCCATAAATGACTGATATATCACACACACAAGCACCTTGGCCTGGCGGGAATAAGCAGGTGTTCGGCATGCGTAGCATGTCCTATGATCACAAACCACATCCCCATATGGAATGTAAAATGTGAGCTCTGTAGAGGATAAGGGCACCACTGCATACTTAAACATCGCACAATGTTTTGGCACTGTCCTCATTTATCTGTCATTACTCTGGAAATCCCTTGTAGTCATTGTAGGGGTGGGAGAGAGCTAAATTTAGATCAGAAGAAGAGGTCCCTTGTTTAATCTGGAGTAATATAAATAGCAAAGAATCTTGTCATACAGTAACGTTTATGCAACAGTAAGACAAGGCTCAACAAGCTACAATAGTTGATGTCAAATTCAAGGACTTACCATTGGGAAGCTTGTGACTGTTTTCCACCAGCCAGGTAAATAGGTTGGCAAAGTTGCAGTTGCACACCCAAGGGTTGCCCTCTAACCTAACCACCCGGAGGGAGGGCAGCTGGCTCAGGGCACTCACCTGTAGACCGGAAAGGGCATTGCGTTCTAGTTCTAGTTCACGCAAGGAGGTAAGACCCATGAAAGCATCTTCATTGACCATGCTCAGGTACGGGTTGTTGCCCAAGCGCAACTTAATTAGGCTCCTCGACTCTCCAAAAGTCCCTTTGGGGATCTCGGTCAGGTTGTTGCTGCCGAGATCCAGGAAAACCAGCCTGGAAGAAGTGCTAAGGGTGCCCGGCTCAAAGTGTGAGAGCGAGTTGTTGCGGAGGTCCAGGTAGACCAGGTCACTGTAGAGCACTAGGAAGTCCGAAGGAATCCGTGGGATCCAGTTGTCCGCCAACAGTAGCCTCCGTACGTCCAAGGGGATCTCGTCCGGAAGACGGGTAAGTCCGCGGCCGCTACAGTCCACAGTGTGAGGGTCTGGGCAAAGGCAGGTGGCTGGGCAATTATCCCCTTGAGTCAACAAAGTGAAGGAGAGCAAGGCAAGGACAGGCTGGAGCCGGTAGACACATGGCAACATGGTCAAGAAAGAAGGGGAAAAGAGAGGGAATAGGGTTCTGGGGTGAAGGGGATCAGGGTCAGAGGGCAGGAGATTAGGAAAGGGGAGGGGAAGGGGAAATCGAGAAGAGAAATAGAGGAATCAGTGCCAGCGCAGGAGCATCCTGCAGTCCTGGGCAAGAAATAAGGCTTGCACATAAAGCAGCTCGAGCAAGACGAGGACGCTGTTTTCCAAGAGATCATGTAGCAAGCAGCCCTGGAGTGATGAGCAGACTGCTGGCTTTGAAGGCACGAGGGGAGGAGAGATAGCGAGCTGTGGGAGGGAGCACGAAAGCATGAGAGACTGAGAGAAAGGGGTGGAGAAATCGGCAGACAGAGGTAAACAGAGACCAGAGAGGCAGAATGAGTGGAAAATCAGAAGCACGGACAGATTGGCAACGTGGAAGAGGAGGTGGGGGGGGGGGGGGGGGGGGGGGGGGTAATCTTCCAGCCGCTCTCTCGCAATTAACCCGCGCTTGATCGAAGTCCGACACAAAAGGATTCAGCATAGAGAGGCTCTGTCATGGTGAGCAAAGAATGACATTTTTGCATCCCTCCATTTGTCTCTCAGCTGAGCGCAGGAATTAATGCTTGACCGCCGGCTGTTATCATGACCCTTGGCACTTTGGAGCCGTTGTAACTGAGCTGTCATGGTCCTAATGAGGAGAATTCCCACAGAGAATTAGGTGCAGGGCAGCGGTGTGCTCTTCCCTTCTCTTTCCTCTTCTTATCTCCCTTTCGCCTGGCTCCCGCGTGCCGTGCGATGCCAAGACACGACTGTGTCTGATGAGAGGTTGTACAGCACGGTTTTGCAGCTCTGTTGCTATGGTGAGGAAATCCAAATATCCACATAGAAGTTGTCTGCATGCAGATTAGAGACAGGCGTGGGGAACGGGGGAAGTCTATCAGCATGCTGGCTCATGGACTCCACTGCTTTTGTCCTCCTGTGTTGTCTTTGCCGTTTAATATGGAGGGATGAGGCGACCATGCACTCAACACGTGATGTCATTTCCTAGTAAGATAAATGGTCACACAATTGCAACAGATTTTACATGCAATCATGTTCTTGTGCTCTTGTATCATTATATAGCCTCCTCCACATTATAAAAATCTATTCTGTAGTTCTGTCAATAAATCAGAAAAGAATTTGGACCCAGAAAACAGATTTTAGTAATTCTCTAGACTTGACCTTCATATGGCATAAATCGATTTCAAACCAATCCCAGAGTTTTTTGTTGTTGTTGTTATTATTAAGCAAACATCAGTGCCAAAGTTAATAAGGGAAATTTCTAGAAAGCAAAGGGCACGTCTTCATTCATTTAGCTCTCGTCGGGCAGTTCACTCAATCATTGCTGCTTAAAGTAAAGGACAGCGAGGAGGGGCTGGACAGCATAAGACACTCATACAGCTCCTTCAGCATCTCCAGACAGGTAAATGGAATTAGGAAAGCAGACTTCAGTCACGACACAAAGTAAACCAAGAAATGACATGAATTGTACAGGACAGGTGAAACATGCCAAAATGGGGTCACAAACATATCAGTCTGCAATTTAATAGTGCATTTGAAAGAGACGTGTCCCAGAGTGTCATATAGAAAAAAAAAAGTATATTACATGTGAATACATGCATGTTTGTATGTATATAAATAAAATTAACTGTAGAATTTACTGTTCGAACTGCCAAACTTTAATATATAGTAAGAGATTTGAGAAATCCATTTTTTTGTCATCAATATTTATTACCCTAATATTTTTGACAGTATTGAACTTCAGTGAAATATGTCTAATCAGGTAAACAATTTGTGAATAAATAAGCAGTCAAAATGAATGAATGAATTGATGTCATTTTTTATGTTTTGGACGAAATTCCTCTTTTGTGTGACTGCTGAATTTCTTAGACTTCTTATCCTTCCATTTCAGCATCCTGTGGGCGTGACCAATTCAGTATTCACATTCAATAGAGACATGATCCATTTTTAAAGTTGTGAGAAATATATTATTGTACACAAATTCCATTGTCATGATTTTACTTTGGTTAAAAATTTCGGTAACGCTTTAGATTACAGCCCGGAAAGTACTGTGTAGTTAAGAGGAATTTACAGTGTAACTTTCTGTAATTATAGTGTACCTATGAAGTACTTACATGTAAGTATAAGGGAAAGTTTGGGAAATAAAGGGGTAACAACCAGAATTAAAAAAATATTTATACTGTAAGTATTATAGAACTAAGGGGTACTTATTCTACTATTATGATACAACAATCTTACATTTGGGAGCAATTTAGCGAGAACATACACTGTGTACCTTTTTGTAATAATTGTGTACCAATACATGATACTGTATAGGCTTTTTAATAATGACAGGGTACATATCTATGCATTTATTTTAAAAAAAATATTTTTTATTGATAGCAAAAGTGTTTGGGCTAACATATTTCAAGGCAAGAAAAGCTAAGACTATTGCAAAAAATTTTTTAAATATACTGGGAAATATATCTGTGGTTACAGGGTAAGAGGTGCTTGTATAATAAATAATGGTTTCCGAGTCAGTGATATAAGATTGTGTGTATGCATTTTTATTGTACTTACCCAGTAACTACATGGAACAAGAGGGTAACAAGAACCACTTTAATTTACAGCCCGCAATGTCACACTTACCCTGTAACTACATGAAACAAGAGGGTAACAAGCACCACTACATCAAACAAGAGTATCTTTCCCCAATATTTAAGAAAAAGTTGAAATAGTCTTCGTTTTCAGTGCACTTTTGTTAAAAAGATTACTTTATAAATGCATAGATATGTACCCTGTAATTTTTTAAAAAGCCTATACAGTATGTACTGGTTCACCATTATTTCAAAAAGGTATGTTCTTGCTAAATTGCTCCCAAATGTAAGGGTGTATTCACACCTGCCTTGTTTGGTTCGATTGAATCGAAATCTAGTTTGTTTCCCCCCTTGGTGCGGACCTTTTGGGCAGGTGTGAATACAGCAATCGAACTCGGGTGCGGACCAAACAACCGAAACGAGACCCAGCTGAAGAGGTGAAGAGCTGAAGAGGTGACATGACGGTTCCAAACAAACTCTGGTACGGTTCGTTTACGGTGTGAACATGAACCGACCCAATTGCAAGAAAGCACTGCGCCTTTGAGTTAACAGGCTTCCGTAGTCGGAGTTGCGTTATGGGAAAGTGATCTGTTGTAGCCTACTACATTGATAAAATGAGTCGTGGTTTGACCTGGTGCTTCGAAGAGACGAGCTGCCTTAATAACATTTGGGCAGATGCCCATGTAGCACAGTTGCTGGAGAGGACACATAAAAATACTGATGTGTTCAACATGTTTACTGAACGGATGAAGGAGAGGGGATATGAGAGGTCTCCCGCACAGTGCCGCGTTAAAGTAAAAAAACTTCGGCAACATTATATGAAAGTGCGCGATGCTCTAAACAAGAGTGGAAATTCAGGAGAAGAGAAAGATAAATGTCAATGGTACGACGAACTGGACAAAATCCTAGGAACGCGACCAACAGTTTGTCCCGTTGACATTGTCGAGTCATATAGCCCTACAGACAAGACCTCATCAAGCCTTTTTGCACTTTCATTTCCCTACTGGAGAATCCTTGTCCAATGAATGGACGACCTTAGCACACGTGTGGTTTTGTTTACAAATTTTGGTTCACTTGCAAAAAGAGTATGTGAAAGCGAACTGTACCAAAAAAATATATATATATATTTGGTCCGGACCAAAGCATAATAGAAGAATAAGTACCCCTTAGTTCTATAATACTTACAGTATAAATATTTTTTTAATTCTCCTGGTTGTTACCCCTTTGTTCCCCAAACTTAAAATATTGTTCCCTTATACTTATATTGTAAGTACGTTATAGGTACACTATAATTACCGAAGGTTACGCTGTAAAATCGCTTTAATTACGCAGTACTTTCCGGGCTGTAATCTAAAGCGTTACCAAAATTTCTGCAAAATGAATGAATATCAATTTATATAGAATTCAGTAGCTTTCTTACCCATAAAACCCTTTCTGTGCCTTTCTGGAAATACAGGCAGGATCTAAAAGTCAAAACAGAGCAGTTCATGCAATACAAAAAAGTGAAGATGTATCTAGAACATTGCTCATGTCTTCATAATGGTGCACGCTCCCGAAGGTAAAGGTCTCTATTGAAGTTCCATAGTTAACTTTGCATGTGTAAAATTAAGTCTCCTCCTGGTCCATCCCCACAGACCTCAGACCCGGTCCAAGAAACAGAAGCCTTTGAAAGATCACTCAAATTATGTTTGGAATGAGGCCATATTACCATAAAACTGCACAATTAATTAGATGCCCGTGGAAAATATGTAGGGGGCATGTGTGTCCGTGAAAGGGGATTGCAAACATGACTTTCCATTCCCTATGAATAAATACCACACTTTATATGGGACAAGCAAACTCTTTTTTTATGACAGCCCATATAAAAAAATAATGTCTTAGATGGAAGGATTTTTTATATTAGGAGGACCATGTCAGAATATAAACCAATGAATTTCTTTTCCTCGTTTTTGATTTCTGCAACTGGTTGCCATGTAAAACAACAAAAGTAAAGTTGTCCTCTCTTTCTTCACCTATACTTCCGGGTCTGCATGTACTATGCAAGAAGTTTTTCTTCTAAAGTTTCTCTTCTATTGAGAGAAACACAGAGACACACATTAAAAACAATAGGGTGTAGTGGCATGACTATGAAACTCAAAACAACTGACATGGCAAACCTTTAAAATATAAGACAAACGAAAATTATTATTAATTGTCTAAGAATGAAGTATAAAAAGAATGTGAATGGGGCATTACAGATATGTGCATCAATATAATTATGGAGGATCTGATAAGAAGACTATAGAGGGAATCAAAGTACCTTTTGTTTTTTCATTCAAGGCTGCAACAGAAATATTTATTTTGGCTGACACGGTTTGCTCTATATTAAAGAATTGCCAGTCTGCTCAGGTGTGCAGACAGCTGTAAATGTACCAGCCCTGACCTCTCAGATCGATTCAGCTTGATTGTGTGTCCATCATACAAATCAGGCATGTTTGCACTTCTATTTTCAGTTGTTGTAACTGTTGATTATAATACAACTAAAGACAGGGAACTTCTTGGTTTGTTCTTTGTTCCATGGCTCTCTTCTCACAAGGCAATGATGGGTCATAAAATATTACATGCAGCCTGCAATGAGCAGTTCTTGCCTCCCTTTTTAGCTCTGGGCCCGAGGTGCTACACGTTGTGTGTGGATTTAGCGCCAGACGCTGCAAATGCAACTCAATAGCTTGATATTGAAACTGTTAACTACCTAAAAAATTTCAGAGGAAAGTGAAATGGCAATATTTTGCATGCTAGATTAAATAAGATCAACTAAGACATTACTGGAATAACTTTGTAAAGACTTTTATTCTGCAGGTGTTGTAATGAAAAGTAGGTTTTGCCAAATCACTTATTATATACATATCTTTTAAAAGTTAGAAGACACTGACTGACCGACCGATCGATCCAAAATTATCTACAGAGTGAACACTTTATGCATTCATTTATTTATTTTTTGACGGAGACGAAGAATACTTCTAGGAAATAAACCACTAACTCAGCAGACCCTTTGTATTGTTTATGCATTGCTAAAAGGGCAAGTGAACCAGCACTGCCCAGCATGAGAGGATGCAATTAAAGCCCTGCGCATCAATAAGTAATGAATGTCAAGTGGAGCATGTTGTTTGGCTTGGCAGGGTACTAGTGGCCCGTGGAGGCGGATGTCCAGTCCAGGATGGGCCGGAGGGTGGGGGGGGGGGGTAACATAGAAACAACAGGTGTTGGCGGATGTTGCCCTTTTACTCTGTTGCAAGAGCAGCTTTAAGGGTTATCTCACAATTGTTAACGATAAGCATCTGGACAGAACTAACTGGTCCTGGAACAGAGCAAAAGGGCAAACGTTTTCCCAGAGGAGGGAAACAGAGGCTTT